GTAGCTTGAAACGCTCGATAAATTCAACATAAGTAAGCGGGTTTCCGTCATATTTAATAAGTACAATACTAGGAATATCCTTACTAGACTCTAATTTATACAAAGCTTCCGCGATTGACATTTGAGACACTTTAGTCGGTAAAACTGTTTCTTCAAATTCAATTAAATTGTCTATCCAGGTGTCGAAAGATTGCGGCGATGACAGGTTGGGATTAATTTTGCTCTTTGGGCAATCCAGTTCGTCTGTCACAGAGTTACACGCTATATTTTGCAGGTTCTCGGCATTTGACACAGTTTTATCGCTGTTGGTGATGGATTGCGCGCTTCCCGAAGCTTCGGTCTCATGAATTGAAGCTCCCTCGACTTCCTCGTGACTAACTGGCGCGTTGCCTCCTGCTGATTCGATGTTACTATTGACTTCAGGCTCTAAAATCTGTTCGCTCGTTGAGGACATTGGGTTAGCGTGTTCGGACACAGAGAGGGACAGGAGAAAGGTTTCGACCATCTCTTCGATGTCGTATACATCGTTGGTGAGTATATCTTCCCACTCGTCCATCGTTGAGGTTTGACTTTCCCCCACATACTCATACATCTCAGCGTGACACTCACGCGCTAACTCAAAGTCCTTTCGTATCTGAATGATTTCTTTTTCTATCCGTTTACGCTTCTCTGCGCCCTCTTCTATAAACTTTCTGGCTCTATTTATAGATCGAGTAATCTTACCTCTGAGTTGGCTTCGCTTTTTCTTAAGAATACTCATTTGCGCGTCTGACTCACCATGCGCCGTCTCTTGTACTGCCTCAGCTGAGCCGCTTTGGCCTTCGTTTTCGTTCATGATTCTATCCAATAACCCGTAATTCGTCTGCTAACTCGACGCCAATCTTATTAGTCCTTCTTCAGAACATGTTACCAAGGATTGAACCACGCACAGACCATAGAGATTTTTCGTAATATATATAAAAAAAATTCTACAGTAAATAGTTAGATTCTGATTAGATTACAGTTCAAAATATTACATGCATGATTGAGAAATTCATAGCTATCCTAATGGCTTAATACAAATGATTAATCACAATACACTGTACCTGAAGAGTGGATCTCTACGGCTGTTAATCTCTCTGTTTACTGTTCACTCGCATTACTCTCAATAAAACTCGTTTTTTGTCCAATGTTGTTAAAATGTCTTTTTAGCTATCTACGTCATTAAATAATTACTATCTGTCAACACCTAAAATACTGAATCAAGTTATAATCATATTAAATCAAGGTAAAATTACTAAAGTATAAAGTTAAAGAGTTTAATGTTCATGCAGACTGTCCGAAACACACCCTTAACATTTACGAGTTGACTTACGTGCTCACTAAACTGACATGTGTTGCATAAACACCACTTAATTAAGTCCCAGACTTACGATGAGCAAGTATAAGTGCTGTGATTTACGTGCGCATATTAAGTGTACGCGCTTAATTAAGTGTGGTTTATGGAACAGAATATATTCGGGCGTTGCATAAAATGTTTAATGGGGACATATGTATAAAATAATGAATATTGCACGAAAATTTACGCGTCCTATAGAGTGCAACTTGAAGATGAAATGAAAGATTAACGAAGATTAACTGTTTCCAAATAAAAGATAACAATATTTTGTCGTGAAGCAAGATGAACAAGTCTGAAAGTTGTTTTATGATATACGAACCAGCCATATCAGAACCAGCATTAAGCTGGTGGTTCGAAAAAGACCGTAGAAGAGGTGTGTGGAAAGCACCTCACCGAAGAACATGCAACAAAAATGCGAATTTGGCGAAAAAGGGAAGAACTCATCGACATTATAAGTTACAATATATTATCGACAGAAGATTGTACATGCAGGAGAGAAGTAGTTTAATAATGTATAATTGTAACATCTGCTAGAACCTCTAGTAATGACCTCGAGGAGAACTAGACAGCTGTACTTGAATGGAGTTTTACTTAGCATAGTTGTGTTTTAATTAAGATCAAAATACGTATACTGTACTACAATAATAACATACTTACAAAATATTACTCGACTGTGATTGGTTGATTTAAGTGCAACTTATCCCAAACAGCAATGCAATTTTTGTAATCACAGTGCAATTTTTGTAATCACTGTGCAATTTTCTGTAATCACAGTGCAAAAATCTGTAACACACTCTTCTGATTGGTGGAAAAACAATGTGATGATAAAAGCAATCAATCTGTTTAAAGCAGTTTAGTTTAAAGAAGGAACGGTCACAGATTGCTTCAAAACAAAACAAACATGCACGGCGCCGCGCTACATAAAGTAAAAGTTGACTCATATAAAGTAAAGTTGACGTTGGAAAATATGGCTTTTATCTTTTATTTTAAATGGAAAAGCCTTTACCTTAAACAAGACTAACAAAACTTACATACGTAGTTGATCATGGGTGGAATTTTAATTCAAGTCTCGAAAACTTTTATGTAAATTATTAACTAGTAATAGCATGGTTTCTCGTGAAATTTGGACCAACATGTACTCGCGAGTTTTTCAAAGACCTCAAGTAGCACTCGTCCTTCGGACTCGTGCTATTTTGAGGTCTTTGAAAAACTCACTGGAGCATGTTATATCCAAATTGCACTCTGAACCATGCTATTACCTATATAAATAATTACTTAAGTGCTCGGGAGCTTTTGCCTGCATTCCTATCTTTTCGGCGGTCCTGACATTGTTAATGATATTGGACCGGTCTTTGATACCCGCAGATAATGTACCCAAAGATTTGTGCCCGCGTACCCGGGGAAAAAAGAGTTGTTCAATTTGACAAAACTCGTGGTCGAGGAATTTTCAGAACTGCTGCTGTTTGTATGATAGTTTCTTTGTGATAATTAACGTTCAGGATAACTAATATTAATAAGTATATTTGGGGAGAAAGCTTCAAGTACATTACTGCTGATCTCGAACGGTAAATACTGTACAGCGACGTACTTGTATGCGAATTTTTATGTTTTATTTTCTTGTATTTATATCACTAATTTTAGTTGTTTAGCTAAGCACTTTGTTGCCTTGACTTAATGAGCTTTTTAATTGAACCTTTCGAGACATATATTGTGTGTTTGTAATGTAAAATTGTCTAGTTTTGTAGCGTGAATTTAATAAATCGTATCATGTGGAGTATCATTGTCGAAGTACTTCATTTAAGCGCAATATACAGTCCCTCAGAAGGCGCGAGAGGTTGGTTGGTGATTAATACTCAGTACGAGACCCCTGCGCGTGAACAGATATTGTTAATGGTATTGGTCCTGATGTACCAGAAATTTTATCTTTAATACCGTGAGATATTCATCCTGCTGCATTGAATGGCGTTTACTGCCTCAACAAACAAATTTTGTTAATAAGTTGTATGAAGATACAAACAACTGGAACATTTCAAAGTTTGCCTATTAGACTACTTTATGATCGCTTTTCAGTGTCCCCCGTTCCCAAGGCGACAAAGGGACTTAGATTTCTTGTAAAACACAAATGTGATTTTTCATTAATACTTCGAGTACAAGTGTAATTTGTCGTGTGTCACGGTTATGGCGTTATTGTGTGTCAACACCGTTATTGTGTGTTGTTGTGTGTCAACATATGTTGTATGCCACCGTTCCCACGTTCCCACGGGGACACACAACATATGACTCGAAAGGTGACTGGGAAGATCATCTTATTTTCGATGACAGGCCTCCGTGCCTAAATAAAGTTCACTAAAATAAAAATAAATAAAGTTCGCTATAGTTTTCAAACATTTGCTAATGAAGCGATTGTGTCAGTTTAGCTATTATTTGCTAAGCCAAGCACCGTTCAGACTGCGCGTGTGTTTCGCTATGTATAATTAAGCTCCGCTAGTAAAGATAATCATTCCAGTGAATAGAGTTGGTAGTAAATGTGAAGCCGAAGTAATACGAACAACTAAATTGCCACAACTTCCAATAAAACTGATTTCAACGCAACTGTTAATTTATGTATGCTAATATATCATTTCAGTCAATTTACACGATTCTGATTGGATAAAAACAGTGCCGATTATTTAAACATTCATTGGCACAATGTGCCGAGCTAAGATTAATCAGCTTGAATTAATGCGAGCCCACCGGCATTAAACACAAAATGTCAAATCTAAATAAACAACTTGAACATTTATACTTTGAGCTCTTATTTTGAAATAAGCTCTTTAAATTAAGTATGTTTAGATATAAAAAAAAAAAGAAATAAAGATTATTCACAGTTTTTCATAGGTATGAATTGAAAATTAATGTCAGAAATTACTCTCAACAATGACAAAAGCGCGTATTGCTATGCTCGCTTGAATACATTAACACAATGTTTCTTGTCATTGATTGCTCTTCTAAAATTGACTACTGAATAATATTAGTAGGAAATTACACTTGTTCTCGAAGTATTAAATCACATTTGTGTTTTACGAGATAGATATCTATATTATTATACCCGCCATCCGGTATTAAAAATATTTCGCCAAACATGCACTTGCGCGATTTTTCATTAATACTTCTCGAACCGTGTAATTTCCTATGCATATTTATGATAGCTGTCTCATAATCATTTTTGACTTGTCAGCATACATTTGAACTAACATTCGTTGAAATCACAAGCTGTAAACCTTGTGTGTCACATGTTTTTTCAAAACAATGTCAAGATTTTACCTTTTATTGGAACTAACAACATCTCTTTTCTATTTATAACATCCGTTGGAATTGTGGTGGGCTGATCAGTCGCAGAAATCGACGATGCCTGTGGTGATGTTGGCTTCGCACTCGGGGGACATAACTGGACGAATGTTGTACAACACAACAAAAAAATAAGGATACAGTAAAAAACCTGCGCAATCATTTTCGAAAAAACTGTTTCGGGAGACGTTTCAAACACGACCGCGAGTACTGATTATAGCGCATGAATGAAATACATAATTATTATAAAATTTAACAATATTTGCTGTCGAGCGCTAGCGAGGCAACACACTATTCTCATCGCACTTTGTTTTCGTTACCAGTCCCCGCGCCCCGAGTTTGGCAATCTTGTGTGCTTGAATCTCGATCCTTCGGCGCGAGTTGTATGTCCGCATTGAGGGGGTGACGGAAATTAATGAAGTATCAAGGGGTGGTTGTCTACCCTGATCGATATGTGCGGATATTGTCATTGATGGCACAAAAATATAAACGACACGGTCGTTCATCAGTCTTCATTAATTAATCAATACACTGTATCCACACATTGAAACAGAAAATTCAGTTAAAAAGCGTCCCGTGCAGAGTAAAAAATTAGCATCATCCGGATGAAGACAAGGTTACGTGTGTGATTTTTTTTCGAGCGGGCAACACAACAGGTCAAGTTTGATCGCGTTGTTACGTGCAATGATTTTCTCATTGGAGAAATTTACCGCTTTCATTTTAGACCTACGTTTAAAAGTTCGTCACTGCGAAGTGTGTTGTGATCGGTAGAAACTAAAAATCCTGCTATGCGTTTAAAAGTGTATGAATTTGTAATTTCGCCATATATTGACAGTACTTGGAGATATCTTTTAATAGTCCACGGCTCTGGATTAGCCGCCCCGAATATATATTTTAATTAACCAGTCGATCCGCTCATCAAGTGAAGCGATTTTCATTGGCAGCTGTCTAAATATGTACAATACGTTGTAATTTGATATTTTCGGCAATCGTTGCCGAAAGTTAAATCATATTAAGTTTACAATCGCGTTACCGCGCAGCACTCCATGATACACATGCAATTTCTCCTTACGCGTCGGCAACGCAATGAAATTTGACTCGTGTTGCCGACGCGAGAGAATATCGGATGT